GTGGCTTTGTGGTAGGACACCCGCTTGACATGCTAACGGCCCAGGTTTGATCCTGAATGGGCCCTTAAATTTCATTTATTGTATTTGCTTCTTTCTGCGCTTTTCGCTTACAGTCAATTTTTTCGCTCACAACCCACGGTACCGACGCTGACGGCGGAATTTCTGCGACACAAGCTTTCTAATGCAATCACGTTAATATACTTCTCAGTAGCGTAAGCACGCCGCCGCGGTTGTATATTGGCGCAGGTACTCGGTTGCCAACTCGCAGGTCACGGGATAGAAGCCCGGCTGCAGCGGTTGCGTTTCCGATGAAGTCGGATATGCTGTAGGCCTGTCTCTTCTTATTGGGGTGCAGGTTAAAGAACCCGAGGGGGTCGTAATTTCCGGAGCCCTCCACTAGAGCGTCTTTATTATTTGGATGGTGGTTTTGGAAAGTTAAAACCTCACATATTAATCAATCAGTAGTGTCTAAGTGTAATCGTTATTTTATGAAAGCTTCAAAGCACGTTACTATCACATATTTACAATAACGTGAGTATTGGTGTATGGTCGTAAATTTCACGTACCGCTCTTGGACCTCTTTATCCAGGACCATGCTACATGACTCTTCATCTGCGTGGGAAAGACTCAAGGTTATTTTTCTTGTGGCTCAAGTATCTCGCCGTCATTCTACGAAGAAAGAACAGCGTTGTTTCAACAGTGCAGAGAGGGTAAGGTACTTCTATATCTCAAAAAAATGCGTTAAGGCTACAAAATGCTGCTTGTCTTACGAGCTCATCTTATATGTTCATTAGCTCGCATGTTCTTGCATTCCTGCAAAAATCATGTTGTTGTATTGGTATTCAAACCTCTAGCTTAAGGTAAACCATAGTAATCTCAAAGAATAATTTAAGTATACATTTGTCAGTAAAAGAAAAATTATCTGCATGTGGGTTGGTGGCTTCATTTTAAGGGGATTATTGTGAGGTGGTTCCACTCCACATTCATTTTTAGACGTACTTATTGAAAATAAAAATATTGAGGCGTATATTTCGTGTCATCAGAAGCATGTTTGAGCCAAAGAAGACGCTAATGCAAGTGTGTCTTGGTCGGGCTATGTCAGGCATGCGGCGTTGTCTGCGGCATCCGCGTGCTGGCAGGAATTCTCTTTGCTCTCACTCCCTCTCCCATGGTAACAGCTGCCGGTAGGCGTGCTTATCCTTGCCCCTAGAAACCGCAGCATGTGGTGTGAAAGATTGTAGGAGAGTGTAGGGGCAGTGCTTCGGAGCTCTCTCTCTCACCGTTCGCTCTCTCTCTTCCCTGTGCACCGCTCTACCGTCCGATCGCGCCTCACTCTCTTAAACCTGCTTCACATGCGAGCGACCGAGTGGCGGGAGGACGCACGCTCGTTTCACATGCGCCGCGACTATACCAATGCTCTTGCACGACGCCGCTGCCCTGGCGGGCAGTGTTACCGGCGGAACGCGCCGGCGAACCGCTGTTTTCAGTCATAGAGCAGAGCGTGGTTTTTCGCAAAGTATCTTTTCTTTGGAACTCCTGTACTGTGAGGTTTTTCATCAATAGCCGCTCGACTTGATGCGTCTGTACACTGATTGAACTTGGTGTACGTGACTTTTATAATAAATAAATAGCGTTGGCGGTCGCTTTTTGTTTTGTTCTGGCTTTTTAACGAATAGTTCTTGTTGCGCCCTCACATAACTGGCCACGAAGAAGCAAAAGCAAGAGTTTACTGGTGCCTTTTACAGCTAGGTGATGGCTTCAAAAGTTTGAGCGTGTTTTACGCAGCATTTTCTCTGGTTCTCCGATTCATATTGCTCATGCTTTCAGCGATTGATTTTTAGGACATGGAGTATAAACACCTCTCAAGATTGGTACCTAAATTTGTGTGCCTGTTCGCTTGAATAAAAATAAAAGTTTGTTTAAAAAGCCTCAGTGGTAAGCTTCGGTCATGTTTTTTGGTCACCCTGTGGCATGTGCGAGCACACTCTTCATCGAAATTTTTCGAATGGTCTACATCTCTTCTAGCACTCGTATTTGTGTGTTTTTACGCTGAATTGCAAGCCTCTTAGGTTTTTCAATGATTCAGTTAACCACCTTAGACAGAGTTTCACCAATGGCAGGTAACACGGTATACGAGATACACTCATTGTCCCTGTTCTTTGGATGCTGTATAATAAATTTTTGCGAGGCCCATATCGGCTACTACACAGCAATTCTTGTTTTAATGAGAATTTGCGTCCATAAATGCTGTGGTGGTGAGCAGGAACTCCGAAATATCACATAGTTTCACACAACACATATTTGCCGACAGAACACAGTGGCATTCAATTTGTAGCCTCTGGCCTTGTATTTTAGTTGCATGCATCTATAGGCACGTGTTGCTGCACTGGTGCTTAAAATCAACAGCTGGTCTTCGTTATTCGCAACTTTCAGCTACGGTGGCGCCACCACATGGCAACCGGCGGAAGCTAGGATGAGGTAATAAAACGAAAACTTGCTTGCTGACAACGTGTCAACCGTGTCTCGTCGTCGTTGTGTTCCACAACTTCTTGCGCGTGCGGGAACTGAAGCGCAATAAATTTTATTGGTGCAAGGTTGCAGAACCTTCCCGCTTGAATACTCCGCGAATAATAAAAGATAAATCTCTTGTGGGGTGGGCTGCAAGGCTCAAGCTACCCCGCGAAAGACGTCCTTTGCGTGCGTAGTTTTCTTTTCGGCTGACGACGGAAAAAACAATGGGTTATCAAACTATACATCATGAAACTTGTCAACATATTGTTGTTTCTAGCGAGCACTTGGAATC